CCCCCCTATAACACTGTTGATTATTCCGTTTTATATGAATTCCATGTTGTACGAGTCACTTAGATTTTACAAATACGTGTGCCAGGCTGTGAATGGCTCTCGTATTTGTAAAATCTAAGTGACTCGTACAACATGGAATTCATATAAAACGAAATAATCAACAGTATTATAGGGGGGGTCGACTTGTATCGTTCAAAAAATATAATTGTAAATAACTTTTAACTTATTGGATATAAATATTGATTTATGTGGTCTATGATCTATTTTCCAGCCTTGTATGCTCTTCAGAATTATCTTAGAATGCTCTTAGACCATGTTAACAGTTTTGTTATGATAAGGCTTGCAGAAGTATACAAGATTAGATCATCGAAGTTATTAGGAATCGTAAGGATGCGTTACAATGGGGTGTTTACAAGAACGTTACTTAATTCCCGGGTCTTTTGACTGGTGTTACTCGTTAAATATGTAGGAATTAAGCGGCAAACGGCGATAACTTCTCAAATTTGCCTATAACTTTCTTCTAATTCACCAGAAAACGAACATCAAATTAATAATAATGTAACGTTCAGCACCCATGCTATATATTATTCCTTAGTAAAAAGGTGGTTGATCGAGGATATGCCTTATGTAATTTTAAGGGTGTGTTACAGGGGGTAGTTGAAAAGTATAAAAATAGTAGCATTAGGTAATTTACGAAGTATTAAATGAGTATGAGATAATACGATAATTACGTTTTATATGAATTCCATGTTGTACGAGTCACTTAGATTTTACAAATACGTAAGCCGGGCTGTGAATGGTTCGTGTATTTGTAAAATCTAAGTGACTCGTACAATATGGAATTCATATAAAACGGAATTATCAACAGTGTTATAGGGGTCTACAGTATATGACTTATTTTTAAAAAATTTCGCGATTTAATTTTTTGCTTTTAAAACTACATTAAAGTGGAGTTTTTATACATATATCTATTAGTTAATATACCAGTATTTACGAGTAATATAACATTCAAGAGAATACAATTCTTAAAAGAATCAAGGACAAACAATTCACTTCCTTCCTTACTTCACTTGTTGCTGACTCATAATAAAGAATGGAATTTTACTATACACATACTGTACTCTACAACAGTGATGATAAATATTATCTTAAAATACTTGTGTATCTACATAAAATATACCTGGATAGAATCAATTTTCGATTGCATTTTTTAAAAAAGTAATATTACAGTAGACTAAATAATGAATATTTAAAAAAAAAGAAAATATTTCAAAATTGCACATTATACATTTATGCTTTTAATAGTGATAAAAGGCCTACATTTAAACTGCTAATAGTGTCGAAATGTAAAATATTTAAATGTAAAATCCTTTGTATTTTGTCAACAGATGGCAGCATATTTTATCATTTTACAAGTAACTTAAATACTACAGACAATATTACAAAATTATAGTAAAAAGTTTAAAAAGTAGATATTAAATATTTGTATTTTTAATGTCAGGATAATAATAACTCACCCATTGTGCTGAAATTTTCAGATTTCAGACCTATACATTCCCTGAACATCCGGTTTGAACCGGAAATCACATGATTTTTATTAACAATAATAATAATAAATATCTTTCGGGTTTTCAAAGTTTTAGTGATTTCATATACTGAAAAGGCTTATTGTAAATGTTCTCCACCTCAAATTAGTAGTGTCTTGCCCCTGTACATCATACTTTTCTTGTTAGCAATAGAGTCGTGCCGGTCCTTTGGGGGGGGGAAATTTTCAATTGAAATAACGTGACATCCGGTTTGCATCTTATGTTAGTGTATAGTTAATGAGGCCTCTTGCTCCTAAGCTTAACATATATTTTTTAAGATTTTCATCTATTTAACTTCGTTTTCGAGATTGAGGAAGGACAGACAAACGGACAGTCGAACGATAGTGGGAATTTATAAGTCTACAATTTTTTCAAATTGCACCCCAACAAACCGATAATGAAAATTAAAATTTGTTAATCCACAAAGAAAAATAGAAGATTAACTTCAATTTAATATGTTGTAGACAGTTTAATTCTCTATACTATTTTTTAAATCTCCTTTTTTTCCCTACGGAAAACATAATACCAGGAGGTTACTTCTTAACCTTTACTTTACAAAATGCATTTAGACCAATTCCTTTAAGAATAGTCCCCCTCAGTAGACATAAAGGTTATAATCCCATGGCCACTTTAAAAAATAATCGACAAAAGGTACAAGAGTTATTAAGCTTCAAAGTTGTTGAACAAAATCGCGCCTCCCCACACACCTGCCAGATAAAAACCCAAGTGTTTATGTATTTCTCGACGTTTTCCAGTCCAAAAACGTAAAAATCTTCGTTGAGTGATCGCCATATTTCCCCTCTGTTATAACAAAATATTCCTGCAAAATAAAATATATACAAAACCACAATCTGCATGGGTATTGTAGAAATTGGTTGTAATGCAGATTGTGGTTTTGTATGTATTTTATTTTGCAGGAATTTCTTTTGTTCCTTCTTTTTTTTGTATTTTTAAGTAGTAGTCGTGGGATTACAACCTTTCTACCAACCGAGGAGGACTATTCTTAAAGGAATATGTCTAAATCCTTCTTATAAAATAAAGCTTAAGAAGTAGCCTCTTGGTATTATAGTTTTTACATATTAAGAAACGAAAGAAAAAGAATAAAAAATAAAAAATAGAGTGGAAAATTACACTGTTTACGACATATTAAAAATAAACTGTCATTTGGGATGTAATAAAATGTTTTAAACAAATGATAAAATATTAATTATTTGGATGTTAAAATAAAATTAATAGTCGTAAGTGTGAATATTGTACCTGAATCATGATAATTCAATTAATTTTATGAGAAATGTTGCTCGTTAATCATGCTTAATTATAAAGTTTAATTATGTAAATGTGTATTTTGATTCAACTTGTTGATTAATATTATTTGTTTTGATTATACTAAAGCATGTAAATACGTTCACGATTGCTTCGTTGCAAAATTTGATTGAATCCCAATATTATTAATGGTGTAATTTAAATGCAACTCAACATATTACAGTTAAATTATAGTATTATTATTATTATTATTATTTATATACGTAATTATTTCGTTTTACGAACAATATAGTAAAAGGTAGTCTTTACAGTTATTTAGCCTAGATATTATGCAAGAAATTATACTTAATAATAAATTGTTTACATGATTAATATTGTAATTTATTTTTGCAAAGAATTTATAAGTAATTTAAAATTTAAATTCATTATACAAATAATATTACCGAATATAATTAATAAAAATGCAAAAATGTACGATGATTTATAGAATGAAAATCACATAAAAATTCTTAAAATAAAAACTGTATTACGTGAATTTTTCATTATTATTTTTCTCATTTACAATTTTAACTTATGATTTCGATTCTTTAATATCACGTAGGAACTAGTTAAATATTTACATAATACTATTTACACCTACGAGAATTTATTTACTGTATCACTAATTATTTTTAACGTATTACGTATATTAAAGTCAATAAGTAGAGAATTCGTGTAGCCTATGACAAGATTCATTTAAAAAAAATTAAAAAAAATAATAATCTTAAATATATAAATGAAAGAATGAATGATTATGGTGATAAAATTGATATTATTAATCGATTCACTGTTTTTGTATTGTTTTAAAATATGTTTTCTTTCTTTTATTAGCGAATAACGAACCAATGAATGATTTCCTTTTGTGAAAATATAGTATTGATTTCTAAGCTAGACACACGAATCTAGCCACCACCACAATGCAATAGTCCACCGCTTCCCATTCCCGACAATTACCTAGTAAGTTATCATGTTCTTAACTCTTTATTCGCTTAATTTAACCTATATTTTAAATTACGATTTGTTGTAATTTCTTTTAAATTTTATGTATTATTGTGTGTATGAATTCAAAAATAATCTATTCTTATTCTAACCTGATATTCAACTTTAATGCTTTAAAGGTTATGTAAACAACCTTAAAATATTATTCATGATATTTTCATGCTGCGTGGGCTTCACTGCGAATCTCAATTGAATGGAGGAAAGACGGTTTTAAAGGCATGTCTTCGCTCCAGAAAATTTAATTTTCAATCTTCTAGGCTATAAAAAAAAAGTAATAAAATAAATATGTTTATTGTCAGAGTCAATACATAAGTCACAGAATATATAAATTATTAAAATAGAAAATAAAGTGTAAATTTGACGAGAAAGATATCCTATTTATAAAATAGCAATAACTTGTTTTTATTTTTATTTTAGGTTATTTTTCTCGTTCTTATATTATAATCTTATCCTACGGTTGCGTAGCAACTGTTACATATAATCTCTTATCAAACAAATCAACGTGACACTCTATTTATATAACTGGTTTAATATATAAACTTCCAAAACTGTAAAAAAAAATTCAATTAAACACAAAAATATATATTTATTAATGATTAAATTACATTAAAAAACAAATTTTTCTTTTATTTCTAGCATAATTACTTTCATAATGACTATAGGACTTGGTTACACTCTATTAATAGTTGTGTTAGTGTTGTGTTTGTGTAATTGTGTCTATTAAGATACAGAGCAGATACACTTTAACCATAGTTACATAACGATACTCTTAAGACAAGTTTAAGAAATTTTAACATTTTTTTGCATAAAAATGTCCCCGAGAGGACAAGCAAACAGTATTGAACGATGGCAAATGTCCCTTTCTGACGCATGATGCGCGCGCTACTCTCGTGTTGTCCGCATAACGTCGTTTGTCCACGTGTTAGTCGTCTCATGAATAGTAGGGCATCAATTATAGGTGAGAATAATTAAATTGTACAGAAAAAATTCAAATTTATATATGTATAATATATATTAATTTAAATTTCAATATGTTTTTTGTATCTAACCTAAAAATAGTATGTATTAATTAATATAATATGCATATGGATAGTAATCAGAACATAATTGGAAAAATATTATTATTATTATTTGTTTTTAATAGAACTTTAAAATTAAATCCAAAAGCATCCCGTCGTAAAAGGTTATTATAAACCGTAAACAGATTATGGTATTTCGAGTAAAATCGATTTTAGTCAGTGACCTGATTTTTCAAGTTTTTCACGCCATTTTCCTTAATAAAATTAAAGTTTATAACTAAAACATAAAATTATTTAACTCGATGTATATAAAATCATTAATATAATGATTTATTTCTTAATTCTATACGTGTTTCTTAATGTATTCGCTTGTTTTATTGCCCTTTTTTATGCTTAAGAATCATATAACTCGAGAAATTTTATCCGTGTGACTTTTCAGCGTTGTACAGATGTACAGAATACGTTTTTCTTAAAATACTACTTGATATTTTCTTTTGTTGCATGTCATTCTATCGACCTTTACGATACTGTATAAACATGCTTTAATATTTAATAAGTTTAATGTGTAACTGAATAAACGACATAGTATTAAGGATAATTGTTATTTAAAGAAGAAAGGGGAATTTATATAATACTTATGGAATATTAAAGAGTGTGAGAGATTCTTTTCCTTATTAAAAATTAATATAAATTTTAATACTCACGTTTAACAGGATATTGTAAACAATAGTATAATTTTTTTTTCTGGATTAAAACAACAATTATTCTTTAATATTTTGCTATTTTTCAATTACATATGAAAATTACTAACTATTAAAGGATGTTTAACTTATACGGCACTTCCTTTTGGGTGGTATATCCGTTTCTGATAAACAAAATTGACAGAATTTCGTATATAATTATATTCCCGAGTCAATAATATAATGGGAGTCAGCAGGGAAGCAAAACTTTGGAGACGTATTATATCAATACAAAAAGGTCGAGGGTGTAATGTTGCATACTGTATCTCAATCACTTTTATGATTATAATCTTAACTCATTTGTATCCTCTGTGTATGGCCTGTGTTCTTGATATTGTAATCATAATTTAGTAATGCTATCTATAGAAATATAAACCTTTTACTGTATACTTAATGTTATATTCACTTCCACTTGGCGTTGATTACTACGCTCGACTGTAGTATGTAATGCTAAATATAAATTATATTATATTTCATTCAGTTTTTTTACTTTTAAAAATGCTGCGAATTTTATAACTATTAAAATATCAATGATAAAGCCTAAGCACGCAATTTATGGCTTACGTAGCGATTTATTCTACCAGCTAAAAGAACTTTTGGAGAATTGCCAGCAATATTCTTGGCAAATTATTATCAAAAGGTTGTATGAAGGATTTTTTTTAATATATATATATGTGTGTATTTTTTCTACTCTTATATAAAATGTTATAATATTCACAATGTAACGTTAACTAGAAAGTATTTTCTCATTAGTTTTATAGGAAATTTTCTATAATTGGTGCATAATACATTTTTAAATAATTAACCTTATGCATTATATATTTTCAAGTGAATAACTTCTACAAAATGTTTTACAATATCTTTAAATTACAATTAGTTTATTTATGACATTTCGTTGTGTTTACATTGTACTAAAGAATTTCAATTTTTAATTATTTGGTACGTTTAATGAATTTTAAATCTTAAACCGTTTTTAAAATAATTAATATGTGATACCTTACAAGTAAAAATGATTAATAATATTATTTTAGTATAAATATTGGTAAATTAAATGAATTTACATTGCTTAAAACTAATATTTAAGCTACATACATGATCTATATTCGTGTTTGAAGTGTATATAATACAAAGTAAATTTTAAATAATTTATAACTATTTGTATATGAGAATAAAACTCGTAGCCTGTAAATGAATAATTCTATCTAAACTCTATTATTTGATATAATTGAAAAATAACTATGAGTATTTAAATAGATCGCATATAAAGTGTTAAATTTATTGTATTAAAATGTTTTAAATATAAATTATTATGTTTATAATAAATTTTATTTGTTATAAACATAATGCATACAAAATTTTTGATTGTTAACAAGTTAATTTCTATGTTTATTTTCTTATTGATTAAGGTTTATTAATACGAATGTTTTAAACCTTGTTGTAACATTGAACGGGTATAGGTGTTTGAGTGAGTTTTTACTCTCCCAGCTGTTATATATAACATAGAGAAAGTATGACGATCGATCAAAAAATGACCTCACCCCAAGATTTTTACATTTTTAAACTCAGAGCCCTTGAAACGAGCAATGCAAAAAAAGATTAGGGGTGTTTTTCTGTATATAAACGTGTGTTAAGCTTCAAAGTAGCTTTATAACTCCTCTGCCTTTTATCGAAGATTTTGCAGGGACGTTTATGTACGAGGTATTGATGCTATTAAATTTTGGTAGGAAGTGGAAAGATAGAGGGTGGGTCATGTGTTATATCTCGAGTGGCATCTAACTTAATAAAGATATACCTTTGATTGTAAATAACTTCTATATAGAACACCCTATATTTATTACTGGACCTTATTGGATAAGCTATGGATGATACGATGTTCATTGTTCATTTAAAACTTCATTTATTTATATGTGACTTATAGAAAATTAAAAAACGAAAGAAACATTACACCTTGTATAACTCCAGCAATATATCTAATTAATCGAATTCGCTTTCGACATACTATAGTGTGTCCCAAAAATATAGATAATCTATATGTGTTTATATGTTTTAAATATTAAGTATTTCTTAACAATGCATGAGATCATTATTGTTTATTTGTAGCACAGTACAATGTTATATAATTGTTTTTTACAATATTTGATAGTTGCATAAAGTGTTAAAAACAAAATACTTATTTTGTGATGTCCCAAAAATATAGACAAGTTTAAACTTTGAGCAATAGTTCATAACATAAATTGATGTAAATTGTTTTAATATGAAAGAGCTGCCATTTATGCTTAATGACTTCAAAAATGCAATTAGACATTGATTTAATTAAATTTTGTAAGATATCTGGACCCATTTGAAACCAGCACTCAATGATTTATTGTTTAAGCTCTGAAACCATTATAAAATGCCTGTTATTAACATAAACTTTTTGAGCAAAAATGTCCCACAAGTTCTCAATCGGATTAATCTCCGGGTTTCTTGCAAGTCCCCTCATAACTCGAATATTATGATCTTCAAGCCATTTTGTTGTTGAACGTGAACGATGAATATTGGCATTATCCTGTTGGAAAGTCCAATCAGGTCCTCTAATTTCTTCTCCAGTAGGTAAAGAATTATTTCTTAGGACTTCTTGATAACTTTTAGATGTCTGTCTACCAGTTAAAATCACTAAATTTGATAAACCTCATACTATAACAGAACCATCACCGTGTTTCTCGCTGAAAAACCACGCTCTTCTTTCCTAATATCATGCTAGTAATTAGCCCATCTAAATTAAATTTCTTTTCATCACTGAAAAGGATTGAGAGCCATTGGTCATTCCACAGCATATGATCTTTTGGTATTTTTAATCCACTTTTACACAAAATTTGACGAACTGATCTATCCTATTGTGATGCAAGACGTATAATTCAATTACCATCCCTTTTAGATATGATTTTGGGCTTCCTGATCGATGTTTAGAAAGTATTAGTGATGAGTTTTCCAAAATTTTATAAATTCCAGTAGATTTGTTCATTAAAACAGCAATTTCCTTGAAACTACAATCTTCTGCTTTTAATTTCCATATTCATTCAATTTCTTTCATACTAAACTCTCTTCCATGTGAAATTTTGGAAAGTTTTGATTCATAGACTATACAAATGAAATTATTTACATTTCTCTTAATTTCCTAACAATTCTGTAAAGCAGTAAAATGTCAATTAATATATACTTTTGGGACACACTGTACTCTAGGCCTTCTTCAGTTGGAACATCAAACTTAAAAAAAAAAAATTCTAAAAACATATTAATCGCAAAGGAAATAATTGAAAATTGCTGAAATTATACAAGGTGTACGGTTTATTTTGTTTGGTTGCTTCTCCCGTTGTGTCATAATTATTTTATAAATAATTACTTCCTTAATTTACCTAGACCCTGTCCTGCCTGTTGATTGTAAACAGTAGCGCCTGTACATTGGGACACTTGGTTCACATGCCCTCCATTTCGTGTTACCCTTTTCCTAGGGTTCCAAAATTCCATTATCAACAAACAACAGAAAATTAATGACTTCTAGTCTAATCTGCAAATTTAAAAGAAACTAATGAGCGATATTTGTCTATTGTCCCACGCAAATTCTTCTCATGTTGACCAAAACTTGTCATCGAAAACAAAGAATGTTCCTTGTTTTCCAGGCCAAGTTAGTCCCAATTGCAACAAGTACCATCTTGTGATAGCGCTGATTGCAAATTGCCATAATATTAAAATGTCGTATTAGTAGATCTATAAAAGTTATCCTCGTGAAATTCCACAATATTAATTCAAATAATTTTATCATCAAAAACCTTTTTAATCAGTTTTAAAGTAGATAAAATAAATAGGCCATTATTTCTTCAATTCAACATTCGACAACAATCGAGTATACTTTATAAAATTAAAGTATGATTATTTTTGTTAATTATTATTATTTATATCTCTATAAAATATATTAGACGAGATCTTATTTCGATAAAGACGTCGATAAATTGCATATATGATGTAGATTATATAAATGACAAATGGTCTTGATATCATAATCACGTCTAAAACTTTGATATATAAGGCGATAAGATCAGGTAAAGAATATAATTAAAGGCGAATATAATAAGTTTGAAAAATAAAGAAAAAATTCAATTAATATTATTTATGTATAAATCACACTTGAAATTATTATCTTCATAGTATTATTGTTCAGCTCATTGTTCATATTTTGTGAAGCTCAATGGAAAATCGATAATCAACAAGAAAAAGTTACAAGAATTTGAGATCGTATCGCTCATAAATTATGATTTTTAACACCAGTCAAATATTTAACATCGTGCACATGAAAATTTCGATAATTCAATAATGTTGACCTAGATTCTAATATTGTATTAAAAAAGTAATTTTATAATTTTTTTCCTCTTCTTCTTATGGCATAACTCATATTAATCTAGCAGTTTAACCAGAAAGAAAATTGATTTTAGATTATCCCACTAATTATTTTTCTTGATATTAAATTTATCTACAAAATGGACGAAGGTTTTTTTTTTATTAAAAATATCTTTTAAAACATATTAATATAAACACTTAGATATGAAATTTTGTTAAATATGTCACATAACTCTAAAAAAATTTCATATTAATTATTTAAACAGGTTAATGACACAATTAAATATTGTAGTCTGATGTCTGAAGTTCCTCATTTCTTTTATCGATGAGGAAGTTTATACTTTCAATGATGATTAAACTTACTATTTTCCTTTTATTACATACTAATTTTAGTTTTTCCTATATTTTAAAATATATATATCTTCGAATTTTACTGTAGTTAGGGAATGTTTTCTGTGACATCTTATGATAAAACTTAGCGATAAAAAAAAGGTAAAAAAAACTCACTTACCTCGAAATATCCATCAATAAATTTGAATTTGCCAATATAATTTTATTCATAGAATTTTAAAATCTTTCACGAAACTTAATTTTCTTTTTACCTATCGATTATTAAAAAAAAACATAATATTATTAAGTGTGCTGTGTTACTTAATTAAATGCTAATGCTTATGCTATATTCTGTTTTGTATGTCTTTTTTTCTTTTTTACACGTACACTGTAGGTTTATTTTTGCCCTATCATTCATATATTGAAATCTCATTATGCTTACATACTGTCAGTAGGGATAGGGTGTGGTTTTTACCTCGTAATCAACCTCATTGCTAGAAGTTATATGCAGTATTATATTTCAACTTAAAATAATAAATTTTCAGATGTATATACAAGTTCATATTGAAAAAAAATTTTTTTAAATTTAATTATGATCTCTCGAATTGTATAATCAAAAGGGTGATTTTTTAAAAAATCTGTTTAATTACTAATAAAAATATATAATTAATTGCATAATTTATTTAAAAAATCTTACCTCAAATTTTCTGATGTAACTTGAAAAAAAAGGATATTAAACTTAACCTGAAAAATAAACTTTAATTAAAGACGATATATGTTTGGAATAGTTCCAAAATAGTTTAATATTTCTCGTATTTCATTCATGAATTTATTGTTATGGTCTGCATTAGTAATTTGATAGTTCTGTTTTAAATGTCAACAAAAAGTACTTTAACATGTTCAGTAGTAATCAATATATTTTAAACATGTACTCCATTAGAATATCTGAAAAAAATATATTAGTGAAATCACCCATTTAACTTACACGAATTCAATAATTTAAATATTTTAAAAGATTTTTAAGGATTTAACAAAGATAATTTTAATTATAGTTTTTTTTTAAAATATAAAATTATATTTTGTTTAAATTTCATTTTAAACATAAAATTGATGTGTCAAATTCCAATATTTTATCTTCGAATTTAAACTGTTTCATGAGATAGTTACTATCTAAACAAACAATTTATCCAGGTTTGATATTACAATCACCCAGAACGATAGAGTAGAATTGCGAAAACAAGATTCCTCTTTATAAATAAAACGAAAATCTTGTTTTTTTAAAAAAATATCATGAGAGCAATTGTCAAATAATATTTTGATCAAGTATTTTTCTAAATATTTTATACAATAACAACATAAAAAAATGTGGATAAAACTGTTCATATAATTTAAAACAGGTTTAAAAATATCACTTAAATGTTTTTTATGAAATATTAAATAAATTTTTTAGTGTATTTTAAAAGCTGCAATACCATAGAATATGTACAGTACAGAATTAAATTTGATTACTCAAGAATGTTTTTATTATTAAATATTAAATGCACATCATTATAATAAAAGAGTTCAATGTAGAAAGATGATGTATATTATAATTCATAATCATTTTATTGGTTTTATCACTGAACCAATAACTCTATATTAGTGCTATGATAAAGTACAATCTGTTATAAGTAATTGGATACACTGCTTTGTTATATAAATAAATAACTTTACTGTTGTGTATTACCAAAAAAATATAAAAAAAATGTTTTAATAATATAATATATTAAATTACTTATAATAATATGAAAGCAATCAATTTTTAATAAAATAAATCATTTAATATTTTATAAGCTGTAAGATTTAGAATTGTATGAAATTTTTTAAAAAAATGTATTCAAAATCATCTCAGGAATCAACTATTATTATTATTATTAAATACTTGTGTTGAATACACTTATTTGAGTATTGACACTGTTTTCAGATATTAAATGTAATAATAAATATATAAAAATTAGGCCCCTGTGCAGGACTTTTAAAAGATGGGGTTAAAGAAAACACATGTTTTTTTTTATACTGTAGTTTATTAGTTTATAATATGATATAGACATACAGAATATGCTCCAGTAACAAATTTTAACAAAGTAAAAAACGTTTTCGACCTAAGTTTATAGTTTTAAATGAAAATTTTATTGCTGGAGCATATTTTAAGACATGAATTTTATTTATAGACGTGTAAAATAACATAATACAGTAGATTGAAGAGGAACTGAACGGGTACAAAATAAATACCGTATAAGTTATATACAGCATATTGATTAATGCTTAATACTTCCCAAATGGGAAGGGTTAAATGCCTCAAACTCCTGTGTATGGTCTTAGTGATAATAGTCTCTATATGCTTAAATTTCTTGTAATGTGACTTGTATTAGTCAGTGGGAGATGCTAATTTCTTGTAGTGTGACTTGTATTAGTCAGTGGGAGATGATAATTTCTTGTAGTGTGACTTGTATTAGTCAGTGGGAGATGCTAATTTCTTGTAGTGTGACTTGTATTAGTCAGTGGTAGCTCATTTCCAACATCCTAAACGAACAGTTCAGA